TGCCCTAAAAGAGACGTGGAGAAGGCTATTGCTGCGCTCAACCTGCAAGAAGAGGACCCCGAAAACGCCGCCGACTTCATCGCAGCCTGTCAGGACGCAGGCGTCAAGCCGATCACAAATCCCTTCTGGAAGGACTGGGATTATGCCGATATCCACCAAGCGCTCACGCCCGACATCCTCCACCAGCTGTATCAGGGCATGGTCAAGCACCTGATAGTATGGCTCAAGCACGTATACGGCGAGAAGGCCATCGACGACCGCTTCAAGTGCCTACCCGATAACCAGCAGCTTCGCCACTTTCACAAGGGCATCTCTGGCTTGTCCCGCGTATCTGGCACCGAACACCAAGATATCTGCCGTGTTCTCCTCGGTGTTATCGCCGATCTCCCTCTGCCCACCAACTGGCAAGGCCGCCCCGTCTGCGTTGTCAGAGCCACGCGCGCGCTACTCGATTTCGTATATCTCGCTCAGGCCCCGGAGGCGACGGAGAGCACGTTGACAGAGCTCAAGCAGGCGCTGCACACGTTCCACGTCAACAAGCACATCTTCAAGACACTGGGCCCGCGCGAACACTTCAAACTTCCCAAGCTTCACTCACTCACGCACTACGTCCCCTCGGTTAGGCTCTTTGGCACCGCCGACAACTACAACACCTCGTATTCTGAACGCCTGCACATCGACTATGCGAAATCGGCCTGGCGCGCAAGTAATCGCAAGGACGAATACCCTCAGATGACGGTGTGGTTGCAGCGCCGCGAGCAGATTCGCGCACATCAAGCATATATCGATTGGCGTCAGCGCGCTCCCGGAGAGGACACACCGCGCATCCGTCTCCCTCGCGCTCTCAAGCTCAAGAGCCATATCACGAATGAACCGAGCGTCAGGGCACTCACTTGCGAGAAAGCCGAGCAGCGATACGGCGCCGTTGACTTCGAGCGTGTGCTGAAGGAGTACCTCCTCAAGCTCCAGAGACCCAAGGACAGCGACCGGCTAATCGGCCGTCTAGCGAAGACTTGGCCGCTACCTTTCCGCACCTTTCCCGCTTATCATCGCCTCAAGTTCTGGCACCCTGACGCTTTGGAGCGCGACGGCGAGTTCGTACCCGAACTCCCTGATTCTGTCATCGCACGGCCACAATATCGTGATACGCAGAGGCGGAAGGTACATGGGCAGTTTAGTACTGCTTTGGTAAACGAGTATGGTGAAGGGGATCACATCGGCGTTGATGGTGCGCCCGTATTTCTTCACTATCTTTCTTACCTACTCATACACTCGTGCAGGTTACCGTGTCGGTCGAATCCGTCTAATATTTGGACTACCGGCTAAAACCCGGCGCTTGCTCTTCGACGACGACCCCACCATCCCCGCCCACTTCGCCTACATTGAGTGGTTCACGCCCTTCCGCGATGCATACAAGAGCAACATCCACCACATGTACCGCGTCAAACGCGACGTCGAAGGTCCAGAACAAGAGTCCCTTGTTTCCATCCTCCCCACCGACCGTATCCGCCGCAGCGTCTCTCTCCTCCCCCGCATCGAGTCCCGAGACGTACCCACCACTTGGAACAAGGATAATATCCTTGAGAAGTGCGAGTGGTTCCACGTCAACCCTTTCTCCGATAGACACGCGTATATCACGGTCAAGTAGAGCTTGCTATGATACAATGAATATATTCTTTAATTTCTTTTGATTTTCGCATCTATTTGATGCATGTGTGACAGAAACAAAGGGTAAATATATTTTTCTTATGTATCGAATAGCGGAGAGCTAACTACAGTGTGCGCTATCGATTGGAGGCGCGGGAAACCGGTACAAGACCCCGCGCGCGGCGCGTCTCCGCACTTCATTCGCAACCACCACCATCACCGCCCACCATCACCACCCCGCCACCTTCCCCACCATCCCTATTCCTCCCATCCCTTGCGCGCGACACACATAATTCCTTCGGGTAGTCCCTGGGCAGTGTTTAGCTTCAAGCGAGGCTATGGCACCACCCACCGCAACCAACGCGCGCGCGCCCTCGGCGAACCACACGCCTACGGGCAACGCTGCATCCGGCCTCCCGGCCCGGAAACCTCTGCCGAAATTCAAGAAGAAGACGGCTGAGCAGAAGGAGAAGGAGATGAGGGAGAAGGAGGAGGAGAAGGAGAAGGAGAAGAAGCAGAGGGAGAGGGAGGAGAGGGAGAGGGGAAGGGAGAGTAGGAAGGAGATGGAATTGGAGTACGGTGGCTTGGAGCCTGGCGAGGTTCTCGCCACGCCCGCAACATTGCCCTCGCGTCCGATGCATGGGCCGCCTTCGCGCCTGTCACAGGCGCCATCTTCGCGCCCGACGCGCCCTATTCCCCGCCGCGCGAATCAGCCAACACTACCGCTCCCGCCCCACGCGTCGCTACCGAACAAACCCCAGCCGGCGCCAACGCGCAAGTCCCAGCCCGCCAAAGCGCGCAACCCCAAAACGGGCACCTCTAAGCCCGCGAGGAAGCCCGCGCCGAAGGACTTGGAGGCGCTGAAGAGATCCCTACCGTCGATTGCGCGCACGCCGGAGCTCGCGAACTCAAGAACGTCAACCACAGCGTCTACCGCTGCAGTGACCCCCAAGTTGCCGGTCAAGCGCCAGGTGCCCGCCGGCTATATGGCTGCTGCGCGATGGCAGGCTGGCGCTTTGTTCGCTTACAATACCGCGGAGTTGCCGCCGGATCCCGACACCGCCCCGCCTTCCGGTTCCGTGTATACGGACGCCCTTCTGGGCCCTTACGAGCTCATGCGCCAGCCTCAGTTCTTCAACGCCCGCGCTTCGTACATGGCGTTCATACGCCAACCAACCGCCGAAAGCGCGGACGCTATAGACTTTCGTCGCTGGGACGCATCAATGGACGGGGAGGACTACATCGAGTATTGGGCGGCTGAACGCGTCAAGCAGTTGCGGGACGATTTTGGGGCCACCGTTCGGCTTCTTCAGGAGATATTCTCCTCGGACGTGCTGCTCAAGGACGACTTCGCGTGGGCCACGCTTGGTAGCACGATGCTACCCGAAGTTGTCGTCGGGGACGTGTGGAAGGCCGCCGTCTTCTTGAAGTACGACGTGGAGTCCAAATCTCAGTTCCTGCAGCATCCGCAGGACAAGGATCTTGCCTGGCGCCAACTTCAGCGCAGCGCACTCATCATCGAGGCCTTCTTGTACGAATGTACCGTACTTCTGCGCCACGTAGATCACCCCACCATCGGACGTCTGCGCAAGGCCAGCGAGGAGTACCTCGAACAATACGGCGATGGTCCCAAGCGCGGCGCGATCCTCACCGGTGATGATATCCCCGGCTTTCACTCGTTCCTTGTCGGCGCCGGGGTGCCCACGTTCGTCTTGATCCCGTTCGAGGAGCTCGAAGCCGCCGACAGCTTGGAGTACTCGCCGACAAGTGACTGGCGCTGTGCCATTGACTTGGACCCGAAGCTAAGTCAGTATTGATGACTAACTATCTCTTCATGCTACTTACTAATCTCA